CCAACCTGGCTGTGAACACTGCCAGGGCTGGGGCAGCCACAGCCTCCCTGGGCAGCCTGTGCCAGTGTCTCACCACCCTCACAGGGAAAACTTCTTCCTGATATCTAATATCAATTTCCCTCTTTCAATTTCTCCCCATTATTCTTGTCCTGTCCCTGCATTTCCTAACCAAGAGTCCCTCTGCAGCTTCCCTGGAGCCCCTTCAGCTCCTGGCAGGTTGCTCTGAGGTCTCCACACAACCTTCTCTTCTCCAGGCTGAACAGCCCCAGCTCTCTCAGCCTGTGCTCATAGGGAAGGTGCTCCAGTCCTCTCATCAGCTTTGTGGCCTCCTCTGGACTTGCTCCAACAGTTCCATGTCCTTCTTACATTGAGGTCACCAGAACTGCACACAGTATTCCTTGGAGCCTGACCTGAGGAGCTATGGGGTGCAGTAACACGAACAATCAATGCGTTCTGCCCAGCACAGCCACCAGGTACAGACCTCCACCTTTTCCATTTGGGAGCACAAAGAGCTGGTTACTCAATGCCTTTCATCACTTCAAGCCAGACCATCCAGAGCATTGGAGACACCTGGCAAGGCTGAGCCTCTGTGAGGATGTGGTTCCACAATAAATCTCATCTGGCTCCAACCTCTGCGACTCCATTAAGCTGCCACTAAGGATGGAAATAATCTTCCTGCTAAATCCAATAAAAAATAAAGTTAGACTTTGAGTCTGGCTGGTTATATCTTCCCTTTTACATTTATGGATTGAAAGAACCAGAGAATTTTGTTTTATACTGTTGCAACAATTCCTGGCAGACAAAGTGTTCCTAAAAACACAGGGAAAAATAGCCAGAGGACAGGACTTTTAAAGGAATCTAAGTGAATTCAATCCTCAACCTCTGCTAAGTGGTGCCCAAGCTCTTTAGGCTACTCCAGCTTCCAACTCATACAATAACCCTTGTTTAATGCTCTCTATTTTAACTGATTTTTGCGGTGCCGTCTGGAAGAAGTTCACAAAAGAATCTGCCCCATTCCTGGTGCAGAAACAGAGGCAGAGCCAAGGCTTTTTCCAGCTGTTTGGTTACTTTGGGTTCCCAGTTTAAGCCTTAAGGACTCTGAATACTTGTCCAAAGTCCAGCTGGAGGCTGCTCCAGGCTGCCCAGTTCCCAGGGAATCTCCATCCTACACGTGCTGGGTCTGGCTGAGGCTATGTGAGACCTCCAGAGCGCTGCACATGTGGGCTATCTGTAGCCAGGTAGCCCTGGGTGGTCTTGCTACCCCAAGGACACACCTGACCTGCTGAGAACTCATTGCTGTCCTTTCCTTGGGATTCAGAGATGTTGCATGACAGTGACTTCAGCACATGGCTTTGCACTTGGTGTCTTCTGCAGTTTCTGGTTCCTGACACCCAGACTTTTTTTTTCAGAGCAAACCTGCCTTGGCACCTCTTTCACCCACACTAGACCATGTCACATGGACATCCTTCACCCTGCTTAGCTGCTTGATATCTGTCAGAGTCTATGTGAGTCTCCAACCCATTTTGCTGCACATCCATGGCCCTCCTTTCCCCCATCCCCAATCCCCAGAGGAACTCCCCTTGCAAATGGTCTCTGGGAAGAGTATAAGCCCTTCTCCCTGCCCTTGAGCCCACCATCCAGCTTGCAGTGCTCTGGAAGCCACCAATATGGGTTTGTATCCCAGTCTGGATGCTGCAGGAGACCACATCAAAAGCCTTCCTGAAGTTAGGGCAGACACCAACCATGTCACATCCTTGGCCACACACTTTGCTACAGAAAGCAAGTAGGTTGGTCCAATTTGGCCACACCATTTCCAGATCTGGCCTTGTTGCAGGCAGGAGGAATGTTCTCTTCCTCAAGATTAAATACAGTGCTCAAATCAAATACATCTCTGGCTCTGCTTTCACACCCCATCACTGGAGAGTTTTCCTTCTGCAATCCCTCAGTCCCAGCTCAGGGAAAGCCCAAACCCTCCCCAAGGCTCAACCAGCCCAGCTGGGTGTTATTTACAGCAGCCTGAAGTTCTGCCCAGCTGTTTGCAGCTGCAAACACTGACTATATCAGGGGCCTTCTTAAGCCTGTGTAGGAGGGATGTGGGTTAAGCTGCCTCTGTTCATGGGATAGAAAAGGCTGGCTGGAGGATTCAGGGAGAATGGGAGGGGCTGTATTTTAAAATGTATTTGACTCCCCCAAATCTGTGCCCTCTGAGTGGGTGTGACACAAACCAACTCTGCAGCTGTCAATGGACCCTTCACTAGGTGGGTTTGCTTTGAAAAGAAAAGACCTGGATAAAGTTCAGGTGTTCTTCAGGTGGGCATGAAGGTACCAGATGGATCTTCACTTGGAGAAGAACATCTCGTAAGGTATCTCCCAAGGTAAGACTTTGGCTGCCATGAAGTGAGGGGGTTAAGAGGAAGCTGCACTTCTCCCAGGTCCCTGATGCCCATCCTCACCTCGCACCCTCCTTGTCTGGCTCCTGTGACCTTCCCCCATGCTTCCTGCAGCTGGACCAGCATCTGCTGGGCTTGTCCCCTGTGCTGTCTCCTCTCCTTTTGACCTGGGTCCCCCAAATCCCATAAAGCCTGTGGCTGTAGAAGCTGGAGATGGGGGAGATAACTTTTACCCCCACTGCATGAATCAGTGACGGAGTGAGGAACTCAGCATCCACCTCCCTTGGCACAGCCTTTCCCTTGGAAGCCCCAGTGGTTCTGGGGCCATGTCAGGACACGGCAGGTCTGTGCAGGAGATGTGCCTGGGGTAGATGAGCGATGGGACGGGGCCACCAGATGGCAAACCCAAGGTTAGGCAAGGTGAAGGCTGCGCCGCTGGGAAAGGCTTGGGAGGAAGCCAGTGAGAAACTGATGTCTCCGCACATGGGATGTTCTCCCAGTGCCATCTGCCCACGCACTGCTCTCCCTATCCAGGCAGGCAGCACGGATTTGGCAGGGAGAGCTGGAGAAGACGAAGGCTGGGGTGGGACTTTGGGC